ATAACCCTAATACCCATTTTAAGTGAATTTCTAATAAAAAAAATCAGGTACATATAGGATCATAGATCCTTTTTTTTTTTTTTTTTTTTGGGAAGAAAGGGTGTTCGTGTTCTGTCCTTAAAACTTATTTTATGAGGATTTGAACCTCTAACTGGATCAGTTAGCCCCTATGTATTGTGTAAATGAGGAGAATATTAGAAAACGGGAATGAAAGGAGGGCAAGGCAAGGCATGTGGAAGAATGGAAGGAAGTAAAGGAAACTTAGGGCACATGACGGACTGACGATATGTCAGTGAGTTCATTGGGGACCAGTGAGCTGTTGAGCAGACCAGACTCTTTTTTAACTTACCTTTGATTCCCTTTCTAAGAGATTTTTAGTATAGAGTTGGAGTACACGCACGTTGTCTCCAATCCAAGACTAGCCTTTCCTCTTTCGCTTTTTTTCTTTTTTTTCTTTTTTTTCTCTGCAGAAACTGGAAAGTGGATGCTGAAGGTTTGGCTTTCCTTTGATCATCATTCATGTCTGTCTGCTAATCACCAGTTTAAACCACGTAAGATCGAAATTGTAAATATTTGGAGAAAGGTAAAGGTATTTGTTGATTTCATCTAGGAGACTAAAATTTGCTCAAAAATGATTTAGCCAACTTGAAAATTTTGATTCAAAATTTCCTATATGCATCTTAAGCTCAAGGCTTAATTAAACCTTTGTTTTTTTTTTTCCCTTGTACCAAAAGGGAGAAAAAAAAAGTTTTATTAATTGCTTAGGTTTCTTCTAATAAAATTGTGGTTTTTTGTTTTTATTTTTATAAATTTTACAATTATAAACTAAAAATTTGTTTACTTTTATGTGTCTTGATAACATATTATTATGGTTATTAGAGAAATGAGAAAAGAAAGTTATTTTATTACTATTAAATAAATTTGTATTTTTTGTTGTTAGTATTAAAATTCATTTTTAAATAAATTGTTAGTTTTAATTTTTAATTTTGATTTTTATTAATTAAAAATTTTATAAAAATTAAAATTAAAAATAAAAATTCCCAATCATATTAAACAGAATCTTTAATTGTCAAATTAATCGATTTCGAGAATATTACCATCCATGTTAGGAATATTTTTATGGAACAAGTGGAATTTAAGTCCAAACTAACAATTCCTTTATACGGAATAAACAGTTGTGATTTTGCAGATAAAAATGGGTGTGGATGGTGACCAATGCACAGGCTTGTTCCATACACCTTTGCTAATGCTTTCTATATCGGTATACCCCACAATTGATGGTAACCAATGGCCCATATCGTCTACCCATAAATATTAATCACTAACTATATACATATATATATATATATATATATATACATATCTCCTTTCTCTTACGTTAGATTTTGATTCTTGAAATTGAATTAGCTGTACCCATTTGCCATTTTTTTAAACTACTACCATTCCTATCGAATCCATTGATGTCTCCTAAATGCTCATTATTTTTATATCAAATTTTACTTATTGATTATTTTGGCGGAGAACGCCTATTCCCGAACAGAGTTTGCCGCATCCACACCAATCTGTCTTTGAGGCTCACATATGACTCTCTTAAATATGTACCATCCCAAATTGATTAGTTTTCTTTATGTCTTAGCCTATAGATGGAGCCTCTTTCCCTTTGACCTACCCCTCTATTACTATGATGCCTTTTGTCATATATAATATTTTAGGTAAATTAACATGCCAAATCGAGTTCATCTTTTTTGGATAATAGTGAACCATCTCTTTCCTCAAATCCATACTCTTGATTAATCTTAAAAAATTAAATTTTAATTAAAAAAGTATCATCAACGATTTAAATAATTTAATAAAAATCATCTTTAAGTAAAAATAAAAAATTATGAATTTAAATCATAATATACAGATAAAGTAAAATTAAGAAATATTAGAAAATTAGTTTTTATTATGTAATTTACAATCAAAATAAATAAATAAATAAGTGACTATAACAATGGTAGATTTGTTATATATTTCTGTATAGCTATGACGTTGAATTATGAACTAATTTGTTTGTTGTTGTACATGATATACCAACCTAATAAAATTCGGGTTGATAGAATTGAATGTTTTTTTTTTTTTTTTTTGGATTTGGTAATGAATCATACATTAAAAAAATTCTTATATTCTTTTTCATTTATTTCAAAATTTAAATTTAAAATCTTTAATTTGAAAATCTTAACTATTAAGGACATAGAATAGAAAGTTATAATTCACTAATTAGCTCCTAAAGCCAAACCTCACTCACACAATTTTCTTTTTATTCCGTTCAATAAAAATCATGCTTTTCTTTTTGGACAAAACGGCATCGAAATTATTATTTTACTTTTCACACACGACATGCTGAAAATGAAACGCAAAAGCACCAATGTAATCTAAACGAAATGCATTCCAATTCCAATATTCCAAAACCATTACAATTTCGTGGGTCTTACTTGTCTTCCCGTCTCTTCCTTCCGCCTTTAAATCATCTCCTCATCTTCTATCTCTCGCACACATTCTCTCCACCCAAACACCATGACCACGATCAAAGGAGATAATAATATTGCGCCATCCCAAACATCCCTCGAGTGTTGCATGTGCGGAGATTCTGGTCTCATTTCTGAACTCTTCCAATGTAAAACTTGCCAATTCAGATCTCAACACAGGTAACTACCCATTACGAAATTTCATCAAATTCCTATGCTTTCCCTCTGTTTCTTTCTGGGTTTTCCTGACCCGATCGTGGGTTCTTCCGCTTTTGTTCTGATTCCCTTTCCCCTGTTTCCTGCAGATACTGTAGCAACTTGTATCCGAAATCCGATTCTTACAAAATCTGCAATTGGTGTTTAAGTCAAAAGGATGACACCAAAGAGAAATCCCAGAATTCATCTAATTCTTCAGCTTCGCATAAAAACATCGGCGATGAAGAAGGGAAGATGAAAAAAAGCAGTTCCCAGCAGCAGCTGCAAGTCATGAAGAGAAGCCCCATCAAGAAACCGAGATCCTCGCCTGAGAGATCGCCACCGTTGACGGCGACGGTGGCGAGACGAAAAAGGATCATAACGAGAGGTCGTTTAGAGGAGAAGATGATGATCAGGAGAGCAAAATCGGAGGAGATATCGAATACAGCAAATGGGTTAATTACGAGGCATGTGTTTAGGAATAAGGTAAGAAGGTATAAACTTCTGGATGAGGTATCAAGCTAAATCATAAACACAGATTGTGGGGAATTCTGGTCCCCAGAAACAAGTTCATTTCTTTGATAATGTATATGAGATAAAGAGAGGATTCCATTGGATGAATGAAACCCAAATTCATATGGGGGGAATTGGGGAGGTTTTTCCTCTTGATTTTTCCTCCATTTTCCTTCCAATCCAAACAGATTGTTTGCTTCGTAGAAAATCTTGAATAAGTTGAATCTGAATGACATAGTCATTTCATCAGTATTATCACACGGAAATTACTTTCCTCAATTGCTAATCACGTAAGTATCTTACCTCGTAAGAAAAACAGTGTGATTCTCGAAAGTTCCTTCGGGACTGGCCCGGTAAGGTAGAAGGATGCTTCCGTTGATTTAACAGAATTGTTTTTCAGTCCGTCCTGTAATTTAAAACATCAGTTTGAATTTGATTTGACAAAAATACCCATATTGACTTAGAAATGCAAGTATACATTCATCAATAATACTAGAATTACAAAAATACTAGAGAACAATATATATAGAAATTAATATAATGAATGTCCTTAAAAAAATTTTTTTTTAAAGAATATGTTTAAAAATTTGTAACTCTTTTATTAAAGGAACTATTTGTTTTTATATATTTAATAATATTAAATTTTGTGTCATTAACAAACTAGTTAAGTTTATTAAAAATTGACATGCATGATACATATATAAATAAAAAGTTTGTCTAATATGTATTTTAAGGATATATTAAATATATATTTTCATCATAAATTTGTATTGAAAAAATAAAAATTAATTTTTAATTCATTAATTGTTTAATTAAATTTATCTGATACTAAAATAAATATCAAATTTCATATTTTTCTATACACATTTATTATAAAAATCCATAAATAAAATATAAAGATATCCTCCATGCAAAATACTTTTCCATATATGTTAGTCCTTACCCTTAAGTTTTTGGGAGTGATCCAGACGTTACGTTTAGGAAGGTTTGTTGTTGTTTGTTTAAGGGCTGAGAGTCATTTTTGTCCAAGGCCTGAGCTTTCATACAGCAATATTTGAATTATAAGAGTCTAAACAAAATTGGGAGTCCACATACATTATTTTCTAGTGGTTATTGAGACACAATGGTACGTTAAAGTTGGAACTTGGAAGGAAGTCTTTATTCAATTCCTGGACGAATGACAATGCTTTGAAAAATACGAGGACCATCCTCGGATTAACCAGAGGCAAATAGGAAGGTACCGTAAGTGTATAGACTTCCAAAATTGTTCTCCTGTAATTAATTTTATTGTTATGTTAATTCTAAAAAAATTAATGATGATGATGATAATTAATTAATTAATTGAGTTGACTAGGTGATCAAAACGCGTTGCAGAAACGTGAGCCATTCGCATTCAAATCTCCGGGATCAATGCCAAGTATAGGGTTGGGCAAAAACCGGTTTTGGATTAAAATTAACCGAATTTTTTTTTCTTCAATTTTAAGGACCAAAACCGAAATCATACTTCCCTTTTTTTTGGTTCGGTTACCAAAAAATTGGTTATTTCATATTTGATTTCAGTTTTTACCAAACAAACATTAAACAGTTTTTTTTTTTTTTTTTAAAATAATAGATTACATTTCATGCCATATTTAGCCAAAGTTTAGCATTTTTTACATGATAACATGAAAATATCAAAATAGATGAAAGTATACCTACTGTAATTTTTAGATTCATATAAGTCAAAATTCATTCATAAATTCCAATATACCATGCAAAATACTAGAAGTTCAAAAGCCAATTTTACATTCATTTCATCATCCAAGATTGAAGATTACATTGATTAGACAAAAGTAATAGCAACAAGTTACAAAACTTGCAACCATAGTTTTCTACTCATCAACAATCTATTTATCAACAATCTACTTATCAACAATCTAGATTGATGGATGACTACACCAAGCTAATTACATTATTTATCAAATGACAATTATAAAGTATGCATCCACCGTCAACCTATCAACAAAAAAGAAATGAGATGCAACTTCCACCATGCATTTTATCCTTTGTGCATTTTGCTGTAATGTAAGCAAAGGCATATGTGAAGCTGTCCAAACAATGTGGCAACTTGAGTAAGTTAAAGCTGTGCAAAAGACTATGCAAATCTCCAAGTGAATGAAACCATCCAAAAAAATTCAAGAAGCTTCATATCTTTGATTCTTTACAATTACAATATTGGTGATTGATCTGTGATACAAACAAAAAGATCTCAAAAAAACCTCCATCGTATATATACAAGGATCTATTCATTGGACCAAGGAGAAAACAAATTATGAAGTTAATATAAGTAAAGGCATATGAATCCAACAATTGTAACAAAAAAGCAATCCAACAATTACAAGAAAATTTTAATATACAACCCTTATGAATCCAGAAATCCTAAAGTTAATATAAGTGAAAACATATGAATCCAACAATTTAGCATGAATCCAACAATTCAGCAATTGTAAGAAAAATGTAATCCAGCAATTATAAGAAAAATTTAATATGTTGCCCATATGAATTTAGCAATCCAACAATTATAAGAAAAAAAAATCATATGCTGCCTAGCTAATTCCAATCTAATGAAGTTAATTAAAAATGAGTGGGACTACTTTACCTACTACCTTAACACCAAAGACCAAACCTTAATTCTAGAATGGTAGAATCCATATGGAGGTTGTCAAATTTTGCAAATAGTAAAAGAGCATAGAATCAATTCATGTTTAAAATGTTAAATGAAATATAAGAAATTAGTATTAGAAAATCATACCTTTCTCAAGACTATCTAGAAGATCCAAGTCTTCCTCTTTAAAAACTATTCTCGACTTGTACAACCAGTCTTGTGCACAAATATCTTGTGCCATTCTTGGGGTCAGAGATGATCCAAAAGCATCAAGAACTCTCCCTCTTGTGCTACAAGTCGACTCATAAGCAATAGTTGAAAACAAAAAAGCAAGAACATCTTTAGCCATTGCTGCCAAGATAGGGAACCTTGGAGCATTCAACTTCCACCATCCAAGTAATTCAAAATCATCATTATCATCCTCAACATCCTTTCCTAAATACTTATCCAGCTTAGTGTTTTTTTTTTTTACTTGTGCCCATTCTCAATTTTGAATCTCTTGTAAGTAGACTTAAGGTGTTGCCTTCTCTTATACTTGGGCTCACTCTCATTAATGGCATCACTAGCACTACTACTACCCTTTTGAACTACAGTTTGACCTTGTCCATCACTAGAAACCGTTCTCTTGTACTCAGTAAACAACCTCTTCAATTCAAAACAAATCATTTTACCATATTGCATTACTTGCTCTTTACCATACACTTTCATCAATAAAAATTCAAGAAACCCTAATTTGTTCCTTGGATCAAGGACTACCACATAGAAAATGTTCTTGTTCATCTCTGTAGGAGTACCCTAGTACTTGTGGAACTTTACTCTCATTGATTATGCTATGTCTTTTACATCCACATCTTTCTCCCAAGATTTCAACAAACAATTGACCTTGAAATTTAATTAGAAGTAAAAATTAATCAATGACATAATATGCCAGCATACACATATATATTTATTAACATAAAATTAATTTTAAATTAAACATAAAAGATGTAAAGGCATTTGTAAGTTTAAGAGGCAAACCTCACTCATTTCTGGGAAGAAAAGGTTGCTAATAGTATATAAATTACTAGAAATCTTCTCAATCAAGTAGTAGAAGTGCTCCAGGAACCTAACCACCTTTCTCACACTTTCCCAATCAATGCAAGATGGAAAACTAGGTGCATTTGGTCCATAATTCAATTCAGTCTTCATATCTCTGTCATGTCTAGCATATCTTTAAGAAACAGAGTAAATTATTTTCAATTCTTAAACAAAAATATAAATAAACTCAACCAAACTAAAAAAACCAAAATAAAACTTAAGACAAGAAATTATACCTCTCAGATGCCATCTCATATTTTTCTACAGTGTCCAACATCAAATACAAAGAATTCCACTTTGTGGGAACAACCAAGCAAAACCATTTCTTTGTTTCAATATCTTCAAACTCAATAGCATCTTTGAATCATTTTAATCTTGATGGGTTTTGTCTTGCATATTTGACAACAACTCCAACAGTGGTTACACTCTTGTGCACTCCTCCTCATTTCTTCCATCACCAACTACAAGGTTGATGATATGAGCTACGCACCTCAGATGCAGCTTTTGTGCCCACAAAATTGATGTTCCCCACTTAGTGAAAGCATTCTTAAGAATCCTAACAGTTCCACCATTCAATGATGCATTGTCCACAGTTAATGAATCTACCTCTTCAATATCCTAGTGCTTCAAATACCTCTCTAGAAGGTCACCTAGCTCTTCCTCCTTATGGCTTTCAATAGGACAAAAGTTTAGGATTTTTTTGTGCACACTTCCAATTTTCATTAATATAATGCACAGTTAGACACATGTAAGAAATTTTTTGAATTGAGGTCCATGAGTTAGTAGTAAGTGAAACCCTTTGCCTAGATTCTTTGAAAAATGATTTAAGCTTCAACCTTTCATCCATATAAATATTATAGTAATCTTTGGTTATTGACCTTCTAGATGGGATCTTAAAATTAAGGGGCAATGCAAGCTGACAAAACTTCCTTTAAACCCTTGCTTTTCAACAAAACTAAATGGAAGTTCATCAACTATGATCAATTTAGTTAAAGCCTTTCTCATATACTCAAGGCTAAACCTCCAAGTGCCTAAATAAGGCATTTGACCACCATTCTCAACATCACCACCACAATAACTAAGCATTGTTTGATTCTTTCTAGACCTAACATACTAACTACAACTCAATAAATGAGTTTTCATTACGGAGGTCCCATTAGTTATATTATTACAAGCAAAAGACTTGTTGCAATAGTTAAATTTAGCCTTGTTTTTCCTGTCCTTATCAATAATCTTAGTAAAATGATCCCATACTCCAGATCTTTTCCTACCTTTCTCTCTTTTCCCATTAACCACATTCTTGCCTTTCTCTCCTCTTAGTTGTGCTTGTTTGGAATCATCTCCTAATTCAACTTCTACATTTTGTGGCTACCCATCATTGATAGTATAAGCATCTTGATTCTGCATTAAGCAACCATCATTGATATCATAAACATCAACCACCATTGATATCATAAACATCAACCACCATACAAGTTTAAATGCAAATTAATTTATTTCTTATATACTTTAGAGTAAATAAATCTTAAGTGCAGAGAAGTTAACATTAACAATTTCTAAAACTTAATATACACTCTTAAGTTGTTAGGTTGCATCTCTGCCATCTC